GGGTCCGGAGGGAAAAGGAGGGCTCCCGGGGAGCTTTCGTGGGGGTCAGGCTGGGAATAAGCGTCCCCCACTCCCCCTTCTCCAGCACCAAGCCAGCAGCCGGGACCAAAGCCACCCCTTTTTTTCTCCCTTTTTAAGGAAAGGCTTCAAGCTCGTCATCTTGGATGAAGCCGACGCCATGACCCAGGATGCTCAGAATGCCTTGGTGAGGGGTGCTGGGGACCCCACGCCGCTGAGACCCCTTCAGCCTTTCCCACCCTGGCGCGGGGTGGCACCCTGTGCGAGGCAGCAGGCGAGGACCAGCCTCTCCTCTCTCCTCTTTACAGTCATCGAGAAGTTCACAGAAAACACCCGCTTTTGCCTCATCTGCAACTACCTCTCCAAGATCATCCCTGCCTTGCAGTCCCGCTGCACGCGCTTCCGCTTCGGCCCCCTCACCCCGGAGCTGATGGTGCCCCGGCTGCGGCACGTCATACAGGAGGAGGGGTGAGCTGGGGGTGGCACGGGACGCGGTGGGCTCCGCAGCATCCTCCGCACCCCCTTTTTCCCCATTCCCCTACACGGGGAGGAGCAGCGGGCTTGGTTTCCCACGGTTCTATTTCCCCCTGGCAGCGCTGGCTCCCTCTGCAGCCCCAGGTCTTGTTTTCCAGGGTGGATGTGACTGAGGATGGGATGAAGGCTCTGGTGACCCTCTCGAGCGGTGACATGCGCAGAGCCCTCAATATCTTGCAGGTACGGACTGTGGCCGCGGCCACTCTCCCCTCGTGTAAGCCGGCAGCAGTTGGCCCCATGCAGGCAGCTGCCTTGGAGGGGTCGGTGGAGGAAGGGCTGAGCTTTTCATCCCTCCTTCACCCTCCTCTTCCTCAGAGCACCACCATGGCTTTCGGGAAGGTGACTGAGGAGAACGTCTACACCTGCACGGGACACCCCCTCAAGTCTGACATTGCCAACATCCTCGACTGGATGCTGAATCAGGACTTTTCCACCGCCTATCGCAGTATCCTTTTTCCTCCGCTGGCCCTGAGGTTTATAAATCCTCCTGCTGCTATAAATCCTCCTCTTTGCCAGGGCTTCCCATCCTGTGACCTCCTGCTCCGGCTGGGCTGGGTGCTGCTCACTGGGGAGGGTCCTCGGGGTTGTTGCGGGGATGAGGAGCGGGATCTCGCAGGGAAAGGTCTGGGAGACAGTCCTTCACTCGCTCTCATCTCAGAAATCATGGAGCTGAAGACGCTGAAGGGCTTGGCCCTGCAGGACATCCTCACCGAGATCCACCTCTTTGTGCACAGAGGTAGGGGCTTGCGGGGCCGGCTCCTGGCTGACCCCAGGAGGACCAACCGTCCCCCCCAGCCCGCGCTGACGCGTACCGTCTCCTTCTCTCCGCAGTCGATTTCCCACCCTCGGTCCGCATTCAGCTGCTGATCAAAATGGCAGACATCGAGTAAGTGTCTGCCCACTCCCACTCCTTGCCCCAAAACA